AATTAAATTTTAATCACAAACTTTTTTTTATTAGTTAAAAGCAGGACTCCTTGGAGAATGTAAATCGAGTTTTTTTTTTTTCAAAATACTACTCATTTCCCAAAAATCTGCTCCAAACCATAAAATAAAAAAATGCAATAAAATTGACATTATTTAATTAGAAAAGCTTTTAATTGCTTTTATAAATGAGATTTATTAAAGACACTATTGTCTTAAGAAAAAAATTTTTTCAATGAATAATGATTTTTTACAAGAATTGTTTTCATTATTTTTTTTAATTTTAATTATAATAATTTATAATATTTTAAATCATTTAAAATTCTACATTACTTTAATCTGGTTAGGATATATTGCTAAGTGAAAACTATATTTACTAATCAAAAATTGAAAAGTTTAATGCAAAGTATTTTGCTTCAAGATTTAAAAAAAAATTTTTTTTTTTTTTAATGTATATAAAATATTACGTAATATCCCTGTTTGAAAGTATGGTTGGCTATACATGACATTACCAGAAAATAATAGTGACGACTACAGTAAATTTAAAGTCAACATTCCTAAAATTAGATTACGGAGAATATTTTCCAACATGTTTAAGATTACTGAGTACTTAAAAATTATATAAAAAAGGCACTCACCAGTCATTTTCTTAAGTTATGTTTTAAAAGATAAAGTCTCTGTAGAACAGCAATAAAGCTGTTGACACATTTTATCAGCACTTGTTATATGATTGATGAGTGACAAGCATATAATCACCGCTACTGTTTGTTTTAAAAATCCATTTCTATGTTATTTAAAATTATTTTAAAATTACTTAAAGTAAATAATTTGTTTTTCAAATCAGATTAATTATACTTTAAATCAGCTAATGTTCTTCAAATAAAGTTTTGGAAAAGTATATATTATTTTTGGAAGATTTTTAAAACGGAGAATTAACTTTTGTTTACAAAGGTGTCAAAAATGGATGATTTTAAATGATTTTCTGAAAGCAACCAAAAAGTTGAGATTCCAATGAATATAATTTCTATTTGAAATACATCAAAGAATTTTGTTTACTGGAAATAGTAAATTTAATAATTTAGCTTTCAATTAAAGCTAAAAAGAAAGCTTCAAGAATGCTTTTTCATTTTTAAAAATTTGTTTTAAAACTTAGGTATCAAAAATATACTCTATACTCCAACGAAGAAGTCTCTAAACTTGGATAGAGCTTTGACTCTAAATTCCAATGGAGGATTTTCTAACTTTGGTTGAATCTTTGACTTTATACTCTAATGGAGGAATCTTTAACCTTGGATAGAACTTTGACCTTATACTATACAAACTTGTTCAGTAATATCGGTCAACTGTACACAACTGCTTTCTCATTTACTGGTTAAAAACAGCTTCAAGTGAATGACCCCTGTAGGTCTTAGCAGGGACCATACTTTGAACCTTGTGGGCTGTCACTAGAGAATCATAAACAAAGATTTGTACCAGGTAGCAGAAATCACATTATTTGAAGACTTTCAATAGCAGCAACAACTAAAATGGATAGCACATGTAACTGAAGAAAATGATGTGTTGACACTGATGCTGACATTCCACATGACTTTGAACAAAAGATTAGTAAGTAAACCCCCATCAATACTGGAAAGAGTGATGACAGTGGACTTGAGAAACCCATTTTCATGAAAAATTGTTTTAAGAGAAATATTTTATAAATTTCAACGAATACCAAAGGTAGCATTGGTTGCTTGGTCAATAAATGATGAATGTTTCTTTATATGGAAATATGTAATATTGCCATTATCATTAGAGACAAGAACAGATACTACACTTTGATTCCAATCCAGTGGTCAAGGAGTGAAGAAAAACATAACTCTAGTAGCACAGTCTGAATGCTGAATGTTTTCTCATAAGGAAATAACTAGTATTACATTTACTGGGAATTGGAATAAAAAGCATCTGAAATTAAGATGATAGAAATATTATGTTTTTTTAAATTAATAATAAAGTAGAGTGTGTGTGTACACACGTATGCATATATATATATATATAAATAAATTGTGTGTATGTGCAATTTGTATTGGCACAGAAAGTGTAGTCAGTGATCTGGATTTAAATTCCAGCTTTGTCTTTTGCATTCACTTTCACACTATTACTCTTGGAAGTAGCCTGGATCTATCTCTTCTTTCCCCATCTATGCTGTAAATAGCAGGATAGACCTTGGCTAGCAACTAGTCTAGGAGAAGGAAAATCCTAAATTTCAAACCATTGAGAAGGCAATATGGGAAACCACTTCCCCATGAAGTCACGGCAATTCACAAATAATAATAAACAAAAAAAAACAACTGAGTCTCTAGAGAGCCATTACTAATCTACCTATGTCCTGAAGGGACATATTATTCAAAATAAAAACTGTATATATGTGTGTGTGTGTGCGTGAGAGATTTGGTGACTGATCCATTTTGGCTCCACTGGCTGAAACAAAAAATACACTTCCTTCTTGGTTGGGCACAGTTTATAGTGATTTGTGTAGGAACTTAGATTTACTTCAGCCAATCACACCAATGTATGCAAATAAGCACCAAATTTGGTGCTGATAATTTAAATGTATTTGTATCAAAATGACCAAAAGGAAGTGGCCTGAATTTCTACAGCACAGGAAACCCTAAGGTTCATAATCTTAATCACATACAAACCATCAGAAAATCAGTTTATATTAGGAATTAAAGGAGAAAAGAAAAAAATGAAAGAAGTAATAAAAAAAACTAAAAAAAAAACAAAGTATCAGAGAAAAATAAGAAGAGAAAACAAAAGATAGAAAAAAGAAGAAAATAAAAAGATAGAAAAAAAAGACAAACAAAAGAGGATTGAAGAAAAGAAAGAAGAAAATAAAAAGATAGAAAAAAAGAAAGAAAAACAAGAGGATAGAAGGAAAGGATGAAAAGATTAAGAGAAAAATAAAAGATGATAGAAGAAAGAAAGAATAAAACAGAAAAAAGAAAAGCAAAAAATAATAGAAAACAAGAGAAAAATAAGAGGCTAAACAAAAGAAATAAGAAAAATAAGAGATGAAAAGAAAGAAAAGCAAAATAAAAAAGGTAGTAGAAAAAAACAAGATAGACAAAAGAAAAAACAAGAATTATGCAAAAATAAGGAAGAAAGAAAAAACATCAGCAGGTACAAAATTGATAGAAGTAAGGAAGGAAGGAAGGAAGTGGGGAAACAAATTGAAGGGAAAGTAAGAAATGGTACAAGAAAAATTAAGTGAGCATTAAAAAAATGAAAGGGAAAAAAAAATGAAAAAAGAATAAGGTCAAAGAATGAAAATGGATACTTTTTTTCTGCCTATAATAACAGGAAATTAAATCTTTATACATTGTCATCAAGTTTAATGAGTTATTTTGTTCTTTGATTGAGGACATTGTTAAAGGTAATATCTATGTGGGTGTGTGTATGTGGGTAACGATGGAACTTTCAGGTAGATAGACTCCGTATGTATGTACTTCTTTGTAAAGGGAAGGAAAAGCATTTTTCTCAAATGAACCAACTCAGCAACTTCACAAGATATGAAAATTGTAGAGGGGGAAACCATTTGTGATCACTTTAGCACTGGTTCTTTTAGATAACAATAAATGACTGATAACATGAGGCAAAAGATATAAAATTAGAACAATTTACATTATGTTATTAAATTCATTGTTAGAAACATCTTTACATTATAAGATATATCTTTTGTCTCTAACTTGGCTTATAATAAAGGTTATAATTCTTTATACAACTGAAATCACACTGAATGATTTTAATAATCTGTGATTTATAATAAATAGCTTTCTCTCTGTCTGTAAATGTAAATGTTTTAAAAGTTTTAAAAAATGAGACTAAGCAGGAAAAATTAATTTAAACAAGTGTTAAGTTCAACCAACAAGGTATGTCTGTTTAATTTTTCATTGTACTTTTTTAAAAAGTTTAAACGGAAATAGGCATAGATTTTTGGTTGAATTTGACAAAATTCATATGTATGCCGTATATGTTTTTAAAAAATTGTCTGATTTAAAGAGCCATAGTCCTACCAGGATTCATTATTAGCACTCAAAATCTTAACAATATAAAATATGCAAATGACACAGTGTTGATCACAAACAAAGAAAGAAAACCACAAAACTCTTACAAAAGGTAGTGAAGGAATACAAGAAGAAAGTATTAGATATCAATTTCAAGAAAACAAAATGAATGGTTGTTAGCAAAAGGATGAATCCAAAATGTGAATTGCTATTTGAAGACACCAAAATCAGACAAGTGCAGAAATTTAAATGTCTGGGAAGTGTTTTAGCAGAGGATGGAAAGTGTAACACTGAAGTCCAATGTCGCATTTGGATAACCAAAGATGTCTTCCAAAAGCTAAGGAGAGTACTAAAAAATAGAAAAATTTTGCTAGAAACAAGGAAAAAAGTACAAAACTGCTACATATCTGTCCTTCTGTATGGCAGTGAATGCTGAATGTTGCTTTAAGTCTCTTCAGAGATAAAGAAGAGACTTGAAGCAACAGAAATGGTATTCTACAGAAGGATGCTGAGGATACCATAGCCTGAACATGTGAGCAACAACAAAGTTTTAGAGAAAATGGAAATAAAGAGGAAACCTACTTATCAGGAAAAGATAGTTGAGATTTCTAGTGCACATAATGAAGAAGGAAGGCTTAGAAAATCTGATACTCATGAAGGAAAGAGGGACATAGGAAAACAATGTGTAATATACTTAGTGAGTTTGAGTAAATGGATGGCAGAACAGGATTTAGCAGAAATAACAGAAAGGCAAAATTTATTAAGCACTTATAAGGGATAGGAAGTTGTGGAAAGCTATGATCGCCTATATCCATAAAGAAGTAGTAGAACCATACAAAGAACTACTGATCTCTTGTGATGACCATACTTGACACTGACATGGTGGCCATCATATATGATTTTGTACTATCCACAATTTCAGGCATCTACTGGGGATCTTCAAACATCCGGATAAGGATGGGAAATAATCTACTGTATACGTATTGATAAAGAATATTGAATGTAATTATTAGAATTACTTGAAGAGTTCTAAGAAATGAAATCTTGGATACCTTGGCCCGGGATAATGGTTAGTGAGCTAGCTGGTTGTTCATTATGACTGAGTATTGAGTTCAGTTCACACAGCATATTTCATACTTGTGGCCTTGTGACAAACTAGGCTAAGTATGGTCAATAATAAAAAATGAGATTTTGACTTTTTTGGTATTGTAATAGTAGATCATATTTGATGTAAAAATGTATAATAATTACCTCTCTCTCTCACCAGTATGTTCTCTCTCTCTCTCTCTCTCTCTCTATATATATATATATATATATATATATATATAGTGTTAGAAGAGATAGGGGTAGCTGCAGATTTCCTTATTCAGCTATTCATTCGCACACAAACACATTAGGGAGATTAGTTACTTTTTGTTCTTTCCTCCCCTCTTTCCTTTTCCTCTCCTTCTTCCTTTGATCCCTTCTTCCTCTTCCTTCTCCCCTTCTTCCTTTGATCCCTTCTTCCTATTCCTTCTCCCCTTCTTCCTTTTCCTCCTCTCCTCCCTTTTCCACTCTTTTCTTCTCCTCGTCCCTTTTCCACTCTTTTCTTCTCCTCGTCCCTTTTCCACTCTTTTCTTCTCCTCGTCCCTTTTCCACTCTTTTCTTCTCCTCGTCCCTTTTCCACTCTTTTCTTCCCCTCGTCCCTTTTCTTTCTCCCCTTGTACCTTTTCCTCTCTTCTTCCTTTTCCTGTTTTCTATTCACTTTTTCTTATTTTTTCTTCTTCCTGTTTTCTTTTCTATTATCCCTTCTATTTCTCGTCTCTTTTGTTATCCTCTTCCTTTTTGAAAATATTGAATTTTGTAGATATTAATCCTATAATACCTAATTCATCTTTTCTAAAAACAGAATTCTCCTAAAAAAAACAACTCTTGCCTTCAGAGCGTCCCCCTAACACTTTCCCACATAACAGTTGAATGTTATTGACAGCAAGGTTACCATGTTACACCCAGGAGAATTTATTCAATGGCATTACAGTTATTTCTAGCATCTTCTTTCTAAATAGTGCACTTTGTAAAATCAGTGTATTCAGTATTGAACTTTTTTCTTTTTCAACAGCCACTTGTGCAAGAAAACATGCCCTTTCTATTTATTGATGATTGGCCCTTGAGCAAGTTTCACAGTGCCTTACAGGTTGGCATTATGCTATCATGACAGCTGAATGCAGTTTTATCAGATTTCAAATTGATCCATTTTTGCTGAGGTTAATATATGCAGAACATTTGGGGAAAATCAATATTTTTTTTTTTTTTTTTTTTTTCCACTTCCATCAAGGAATTTTTATTCCTCCCTTTATAAATTTCATTTATTTTGAAATCTTTGGCCAATTCTGTGGCAATATGGCCACAAGACTTTTCCCAGCAAATAAATTTTCCCAAGAGATGTAACTGTATTTCATAAGGGTAAGCCCACTAGCAGTTGCCAGCATTTTTAACTCTCCAGTTTCATCATTAGGAACAGTAATAAAAAATAAAAAAAAAAATTACTCAGTCAAAAGTTAAAAGAAGGATTTATTATTGGGTGGAGTTTGTAAATGCTGACTTTATAGCAAAAGTTATTGGTAATAGCTGTTTGTTTGTTTATTTTTTTTTAATACTTTCACCCCAAGGAAGGCAACAAAGCTATTAAGATTCAAGATGTGTATTAGAGAACATGAGAAGAAAAAAAAGAGCTATTAAGAAGAGAGAACGATAAAAAAATTAAGATAACAGTTGAAATTGCATTTACATTTTTGAAGTGAGACATGCAAGAAAAGAAACTGCTAGCATAGAGCTTACAGTTACATCTAGCCAGTTCAACTGTGACTTGATGAGACCTAGCTGCCAATCTAGTACTGCATTTAAATTCAAAATGTCTAGGTACCATAGTGAAGAGTTTATCTGAACAATAATCATGAAGGTATTTATAGAAAAGATGCAGGGAAGCTGTATTATGTGGTGGGAAAGTGACTGAAGCCAAGATACAAGATCAGGATCAATAACATTGCAGATTCTTCGAGATTTTATTAAAAATCTCTAAATAGAGAACACTAGACCAGATATTATAAATAATTAGATTATTATTATAATCATAATAATAAATATCAAAGGTCATGTTTTTTATATGCTATTTTCCTTTAGGACATAGGCAATCATGGCTCTCCACAGATTCTTTTTCTTTATTAACATGATTTCTTAGGAAAGATAGTGAAGTGGTTTTACTGTTGTCTGTGAAGATGTAAGTGATTAGATAATGTCTCGGAATGAGAAATTGGAGAGCTGAGTTTGAATTCCAGTTGGATTCATTACCTTTAATTATGCACAAATACCCTTGGAAAAGGCATGAGCTATGGGTTAAATAGTAGCACTTGTATTTGGAAGAATCATTCTCAAATTGTTAATGCAATATTCACTGGCATAAAACGGACAAGACAGGCAAAGTACTTTTCAGCACCATCTTTGTGTGTGTGTTAAAGCAAAACCATGCACCAGAAATTACATATTGAGACACTGACGAATTCATACATACTTATATATACTTATGAACAAAGAAAAAAAAAAAAACTTTCTTTACAGACACATTTTGGTGGGTTATGGGCTTTATCAAAGTAATTTAATCACTAATAAATGAAAGTAATGGATAAGCGGCTTGGATTGAGGAATCGGAGAGCCAAGTTCAAATCTATTATGTGCTAATACCCTTGGGAAAGGTATGAATCCAATACTTCTCCCCTCAGCTATGGGTAAATAGCAGGACAGACCAGGTTCTGTAGACTTGGATGGCAACTGGTCTACCACAAAAAGAAATAGCAACCTACTGCAGGAAAAAATCTGCCTCCTCAGTCATGTATCAAAAGATACATATTGCCTTAGCACATATCACGCATGGCACATAACTGACTGAATAAACAAAAGTGCATAATGTTATTGTTGAAATTATCTTTTATGTAATTAATATTTTCTTAGATTGAGAAATTAATTTATGTATTACATATTTTAAATAAAAGAAGGTTTTGAATTTAACCATCTTTTAATTTTTGTAAATGGTTTATAGTCATCTATATTGACTTGAGAAAGGAGTAATTCTTTCCAGAATGGAGATATTGGAAAAAATTTGGGGAACAGATGTATATTTCTGTAAGATACAATACACCTGCACTCTCAAGAATTTTCCATCTCTCTTTTAATAAGTGTGGAATATTTTAGATTGAAATTGTAGTTGAACTTATTTTTATGAATGACTAACACATTTGATAAATTGTTATGTATAAGATCTTTTTGTGTTCATATAAATGTGCATGTATAGTTATATGTAAGTATATGTATTTTATATATATATATATATATATATATATATATATAAAATGGGTGTGTACAGATTTGAAAATAGTAGTTGTGTATGTGCACATGTGCTTATTTGTGTGTAAATGTCTGTTGATATACTTATATATAACTCTGTATGTGTGTGTGTATATATATATATATATATATATATATATATATATATAATGTTCTCGTCTCCTAATAGTCACAGTAGTGTGAAACTGGTTAGCATATTGGCTCTGTCTTGCTCATTTAGGCATAGAGCACTGTCTTCTACTGTTTAGGGAGATGTCTATATTTTTCTCTTTGTTTCCTGTTTTATTTTTGACTATTGATTTGTTTTTTTATTTTCTTTAGTCACTTGACAGGCTATGTGTTGGTTTTACCAATACTTTTTTTTTTACCTTGTGTGTGTGTGTGTGTGTGTGTATATATATATATATATATATATATATATATATATATATAAAAAAATCAGTGTTGGGTAAATGAATAACAAGAAAAAAATCTGTGTATTTTGTCCTTTAGGACTAAAGTAATGTTTTTGATGAAGGGATTATATATGTGTAAGAAGGAGAGGAGAATATAAAAATGCAAGAGTTGGTTATAATTATGCACAAACAGGAAATGCTGATATGTTGAAATGCTACAATTTTTACACACATTATATATATATATATATATATATATATGCATACACAGCATGAAGTTAAGTTCAGATGACATGCTTGTAAGTAACCAAGTTTCAATTACATATACAAACTTGTTCAAAATGAAAATATTTATTCTACATCAGGTTTTTCTCTTTGGACCTCTTGAGAAATTAAATCCTATGAATGACAACATAAAAAGTGAATGGGGGGTCTCAAGTGAATACTAATATTTATAAACTTGAAGCATTTTGTTGTGTCAAGAAAAAACAATGACTTTTTTCTAGAAATATCTTGCTTAGTTTACAGGAGGAGATGTTAATCGGAAAATTAAAGTAATTTGAAGAATCTGAAGTTAAAATTCTAATATTACTAATATCACCTTCTTGTATTGTAATTTCTATTAATTACTCTTTGAAAAGTAGGAATCTAATCTCCCATCACCCCAGTCCCATTGTCAGTCTTATTCAATTTGTGAAGATTGTGCCCTTTTGTTTAGAGAATGGTTCATTGAATCCAAGGAAAGTGTAAACTTTCTATAATCACCTATTCAACCAATAGTAGTAGAGTGGCTGATGTATCTGTTATCAGTGACAATATGGGAATCTTTTTTTTTTTTTCTTTTTTCTTTTTTTTTTTAAAAAAAAAGGCCAAAATTCATGAAAATATTTGTGGATATTTTGCAGAAGAGGGAGGTAGCATATGAACTTGGCATTTCAGCCCAGCAGCCAAGTTCAAAATTTTACCGCTTTTCCCACCTGATGCACAGGTGTGTTTGCATTATTGCATGTTCAATGGGAAAATACTGTCATGTTTGCATTTTCTGTACCTGGGTCACTTTGGATTTCAGGCAGAGAGGAAGGTGAGAATATTTTATTTTGTGTTTTTGTTATTTACATGGATACCTCTGCCTTCTACACCAACATTTCCTAGTGCCGGGCTTTTTAGCTTTCTCTCTCTCTCTCTTTTATATACACACACACTCAGGTATACATTGCTTAGCCTCTAGTCTTTATATTCTATATAAAGCTAAAATATCTTTATTTATTAAGTTTAACATATTTATTTCAATTGTATCTTGGAGTACTTTAGGGAGACTCAATGAATTTATATCTATTGTCATGAACGCTTGAAACTTGTAAGCAGGTATTCACCTGCAAAATTCAACCTACAGTATTCTCTTTTCACACTAAAATGATACTTCCAGATGAAATATAAAGTAAATTTGGAGAAAGACTAAAGTTAGGCAGTACACATGGCATCTAGCTATCAGTAACATTTGCTGTTGATTTTTAAAATATAGTAATTTTTTACTCAGATGCCAAGACAGACTTAATTGAACTGATTTTAAAATGTTAAGATATTTTCTCCTGTGGCTTCTTACTTGTATGTTAAACAAATAAAATTTGTTCACTTTCAACTATGATTGCAAGAGTGTTGTTTGCTTACACTAGCATATTTTTCAGGACACACACACACAAACACATATTTTCCACCTCAAGTTGTAGAATGTAATTGCCTATGTCAACAATAACCTAACAAATTTAATAATGCATGTTACACTTGTTGTAGGCACCCAAAACAATTTTACTCTAACTCTTTTAATTTTATAATTTCAATGCCCCAAAATAGGTTGGATTGGGGAACCCATTCTTTCTGTTTTTGTGTGTTTATTTTCTTTTTTATTATTTACTTATTTCATTTGATGTATTTATTACAATTTTTTCAAGTGTATTGTATCATAATGCAAAAATTGGATTGGTTAGTAGTTGTTGTTTGTTAGCAGTCATTTATTCATAACTTTGTTAGCAGTCGTTGCTTTTTTTCTTACTTTGTTAGGAGTCGTTGCTTTTTTTCTTACTTTGTTAGGAGTCGTTGCTTTTTTTCTTACTTTGTTAGGAGTCGTTGCTTTTTTTCTTACTTTGTTAGCATTCGTTGCTTTTTTTCTTACTTTGTTAGGAGTCGTTGCTTTTTTTCTTACTTTGTTAGGAGTCGTTGCTTTTTTTCTTACTTTGTTAGCATTCGTTGCTTTTTTTTCTTTGTTAGCATTCGTTGCTTTTTTTTCTTTGTTAGCATTCGTTGCTTTTTTTTCTTTGTTAGCATTCGTTGCTTTTTTTTTTGTTTTGTTAGCATTTTTTTTTTCTTTGTTAGCATTTTTTTTTTTCTTTGTTAGCATTCGTTGCTTTTTTTCTTACTATGTTAGCATTCGTTGCTTTTTTTTTTTTTCTTACTTTGTTAGCATTCGTTGCTTTTTTCTTACTTTGTTAGCATTCGTTGCTTTTTTCTTACTTTGTTAGCATTTGTTGCTTTTTTTCTTCCTTACTTTGTTAGCATTCGTTGCTTTTTTTTTCCTTACTTTGTTAGCATTCGTTGCTTTTTTTTCCTTACTTTGTTAGCATTCGTTGCTTCTTTTTTTCTTACTTTGTTAGCATTCGTTGCTCTTTTTTTTCTTACTTTGTTAGCATTCGTTACTTTTTTTCTTACTTTGTTAGTATTCGTTGCTTTTTTTTTCTTACTTTGTTAGCATTCGTTGCTTTTTTTTTCTTGCTTTGTTAGCATTCGTTGCTTCTTTTTTTTTTTCTTGCTTTGTTAGCATTCATTGCTTTTTTTCTTACTTTGTTAGCAGTCGTTGCTTTGCTCCTTACTTTGGTAGCAGTCGTTGCTTTGTTCATTTTTTATTCTATTATTCCTACTGTATAACCTACAATTTCTGCTGCTATTAAACTTACAACTACTACAATTGTAAGAATTTGTAAACTTGTTTTCAGCTGTATTGTGGTATTCCTCTATAGGTTGTATCTTCATAGTCATTTGAATCATAGAATTGTTAACATTAGTGGACACACAACAGAACTGGAAGCTGTAATAATCTACTTCAAAACTGATTTATGAGAAGATCTGAAATTGATCAGCTTGTGGCACATTTGCAAGTGGGAACGAGTGTGATAGTCCTGAACACTATTCCCTCACATAAGTGAATACACATTCAATGTTCGTCATGTAAAAAAAAATCCAGTCCAATAGTCTTAATACCAGCATGTATATAAGTACGTGCTGGTATTAAGATATATGCCAGCAAAGTTTAGACCATTTTTCTGGTTTCTGTATAGAGTTTGAATGTAAATTCTCTCTTTTCTCATCTCTTTCTCCCATCTCCCCCTCTCTCTTTCTCCCATCTCCCCTCTCTTTCTCCCATCTCCCCCCCCTCTCTCTTTCCCCAGCTCCCACCTCTCTCAGAGTTTTGAAATATCAGATTAAAAAATCCATGTGGTTTCTGTTATTTGATAATCGTTTTGTGATTCTGTTGTGCCAATTAATGAGGTTCAAAGAAGGCTGGTCCTTGTTAAGACCTACATGCTTGATTCACTGAAAGGCATTTTTAATTGTTGATCTGTGAAAGCAGCTGTATACAGATGGCAGTTCATTTTTTTTTTTTTTTTTTTTACACTAATGTTCACCCAATACAAGACTCAAAAGTCACTCAAGGTAGAGGATTACTGTGTAGCGTCATATGAGCTTAAGAAAGAGCAAGAAGTGAAGTACTTGGGGCTATACAGGAAAGATAATGGATAATTCCTGACTTGAAGAGATCAAATTTAATTGGTGAAACATTTCCAAGCTCAGTCAGAGATGTTAGAAGTATAGTATCAAAATAGACTTTAGAAGGAACTTGAAACCCAATCCTAAACAGGAAACAAGAGATGAACCTCTACTCTGGTTCAAAAGGCTGTGGAAGAGTGTGAACCGGATAAGTGAATTTCTGAATGAGTTGGACATCATACATGACATCCATATGAATGTCTCTCAACCTGATAAGGATGTCTAATGACATGACTCAAGTTCTTCAGTTAATGCTTAACAAAGCTATCAAGTTAAAAGATGCTAGTTCAAAACTTGACAAAAATTACTTTTCTTTTAATCCTAACTTCATATTATTTACTTTAATAGTTGGTGGATATACAGCCTTGAAATTGTAGTGAAAAATAAAAATGGCAGCTGAAGAATAATGAAATGTGGCTTTGAAGGGAAATTCAGTGAAATGGAAAGAAAAATAATTAGTTTAAAAATGGTGAGTGAGATCAAGAAAGAAACACAATGGGGGAGAGTTTATTGGCCATGAGAGTAAAGAAAGACAGAAATTATGGATCAATATAAAATAAGCAATTGTTGGTCAGCCACATTGGAAGTGAAAGAACAATTGTATGAAACAAAGAGGTTGTGAGCATTAGTCATTATGGTGAAATTATTTCCTTTGAAGACTTCCATATTTTCAAGTTCACTACTTTTGTTCAACTATTCATGGTGAGTTAAGCTACACATACATGAAAAAAAGAAAGTACTGGGATCCATCAAGCATGATAATTTCATTTACACATTTCATAAAGATCGCTGTAAATGATTTTAATATTTTGTAGGAATCAGAAACTGTTTTTTTCTGTTTTTTTTTTTAAATATTTTCCTTCGTTTAAAAAAAAAAAAAAAATTCTGAAAGGTTTTTGATTGGTATTTTGTGTGCAACTGTTGTTCACATTTCTGACTCATACTTCAATGATTTGACTCCAGCATTTGTAACACGCATGAGTTACTTTATATAAATTGCTTTTGTTCATTTTCAATTTGCCACTGAGAAACCTGGCTCTTTTTATTTTTTATTCACACACACATACACATATATATAGCTGGCCACTCATATTTGAGGATACCTGTCTACTAGGGTGTCTAAATAATCCCTATTGCAGACGCTTGCTTAGGCACATTTGTGTTTATTCAACACCAATAGAGCCCACCTGTGGTTTATACTGCAACTATGCTGAGTAGACCTTAGTTACAGTTTCTGGGAAAGAGCATGTTATCTAGTGTTATCAAAAATTTGACCAATGCCAGCCCATTCAAGCTCTCAGCCATGATGACTTGTGGCTTTGTGCTAGCACAACTATCAATGGCACCCCCAAAGACCCCATCTACTGAATTTCACTCACAAGGCTTAGGTCAAATCATGGTATGATTTTCAGGCACTTTCCAAAGGTGTCGCATACTGGGATTGACCCCTCCAGTCAAAAAGCATCAGGAAGTCTCCTGCCTGACAAATCAACCATGGTGAGAATCAAACCCAGGTCTCATGGTTAAAATGTGAATGTCCTGACGACTCGGGCCACATACATATAAAAGTGGACATTGAAGTTATATTAACTTACTCACAAATACCCTTGGGAAAAGTATGGATCTCTCTCCTCTTCCCAGCTATGGATTAATTAGTAAGACTTGTATCACTAAAATATTATTATCTACAAAAATAAAATTGCATACAAAATATTTAGATTTCAGCATTAAATAACCCATAGAGCTTTTGATATGCTGCAAAATAAAAAGAACCAAGCAACCAATGTTCTATATGGCGGTGAATGCTGGACAATCTCTTTGTAGATGAAGAGACTTGAAATAACAGAAATGTGGTTCTACAGAAGAATGCTGATAATACATTTGACCAAACATAGGAGTGACAACAAAGTTTGAGAGCAAATGGGGACAAGGACACGTATACTTAACGTCAGGAAGAGATAGATGAAATTTCTAATACACATAATGAATAAAGTGGGCCTGGAAAATTTGATACTCACAGGACAGAGTGAAGCCAAGAGGGATAGAGGTAAACAATACATAACCTATCTAGTAAGCTTGAGTAAATGAAAGGTGGAGAAATGTTTAGGAAAGATCACAAGACTTCAAAACAAAAAAAAAAAACAGAACTATGACACCAAGAAGTGACCTATCTTATTGGCTAGGAAGAAATCCCAGCATGCTACTGTAAGCTTTGTCTATAAATTTAGCCAGGGTGGGAGTCTGTTCTTGCAGTCATTTCTAACAGGATTGAAACCAACCATAGCAAATTTAAGTTTGACATATTTTCAGAAATTGGTGAGATTTCTGCTGATAAATGATAAACGAGATTTTGAGAACACTTAGCATCTTGACATTTAAAAATATTGCCACTCAAAAACAATATACACAGTCTTTTAGGGAATGTCAATATTTACACTAGTTCTGCTGTATCTTACTTGAACAAGCAGTTTTAGATACCGATGAAGAGAGAGAAAACAATGACAGATATTTCACCAATATAATGTCACACATTGACTTAGGAACCTTAAGTGTAGATTACAGTCATATCTGTATAATACTAAAGCTCTAATCTTGTATGTATGTATGAGCGTTCCTGAGATGCATAATACCCCAACTGATTTAGGAGCATATTGTACCTTGAAGCCCCTGCCAAATGCAGTGACAAATTTCATTAATATTAGACAAGGAGTTCTTCAGCCAAGGCTGTTTTTCTGTTTTTAAAGAATTTTTAATAGGGAAATTCAGTATTTGTTTTTGATACACATTCTTATAGCAATCTGTGTATATAAGTAAATACTTGCATATAATATTGCAATTATTGTGCATGAAAAATAATAAACATTCATAATAGATTATAATAACATTATTAAACAAATTTAAATATGCATAATACAACATATATTTCTACAATCCACTACACTACACTCAAACTTTTTTTTTTTTATAAGCAACTACTTGAAAGGTGAAGAGGCTATATGTGCCCAATGGTAAGTAAATAAATGCAATAAATTTGCTGCTGTCATGTATTTTGAAATAAATACAAGGAAGAAATATGTATGTATAATAAAAAAAAAATATATATATATATATATATATATATATATATATATATATATATATATATTTATATTTTATTTTGAAAAAGACTATACCTGTTTTAAGTTATTACTCCAAATTTTCACACAAGAAGCCCAGTAGAACAATAAACCTTGTTTTACAGGCTTTAGTATTATTAATTTTGTATTCAAAATACATTTTATTGAAGAAATTTCACTTTTAATGTAAAGTAAAACATATTGATATTGTCAAATAATTTATTTTCATACTTTAAATCAGGATATATTTCTATTAAGGAGTTTTTAATGCTTTTCATTTGTTACAGGCTGGCAAAAAATTTTACTTATAATTTAATTAATAATTAATAAAAAATATTATTTTGAAAATACTACACCTGTAGCTAGCTATTACTACAAATTTTCATGCAATGTGTCCACTGTGAATCCCAGTGGAACAATAAACCTTTTAAAATGTATAATTAATAATAAAATTATAATAATAAATTAATAATAAAATCATATCAATACATTAATAATAATAAAATTAATAATACTTTACCTCATCAATTTGTATCATGAACATTTTTTTTTTTTTTTTTTTAACCAAAAAACCCAAGATTATGGGTGGGTTTAGATTTTCACTAAAACATTCCCTATTATAAAAGATGGTGGTGTAATGGATAGCAGCTCGGATTGAGAAATCAGGGAACTGAGTTCAAAATCTAGTTAGGAGTACTACATTCACTTACATGTAAAAAGTATGAATCTCCTCCCAGCTATGGATTAAATAGGAAAACATTTTTGTTCACA